GGTAGCTTTTTTAATATCGATTTAAAGTAAATCGCGGTTTCCCAATAGCGTAATATTTTGGCAGGGCTCGTATTTAGTCTCTGCAAATCGATATCAGTCATTTAGTTTGGTTAGACTTTTTACCGGAGTTACACTTCAAACAAAATTCTAGACTCTGCGCGTGTACCTCAAACACTTACTTCTGCTTAAAGGGCAACTCCGGTCAATATTTTCGAATTTGGGATTACGACTGCCTTCAGCTCGCTCCGTGCCCCTGATTTACAATGTATATTTTTTTCTTCGATATGGTGTGTAGTTTTATAAATACCATGGGCTCAAAGTTTGGTTTCGGGCGTCTCAGGCAAAACCGAATCTATCTGCTAGAGAGGGATGGCAACACTGATCATCAGCTCTACGGCCGCGACGTGACGTCATGGGGGTGCTACGGCACGCGTCGACCAGTGTTGCTTGACTAAAAGCTAACCCGCTTCTCACTTCCTAAACAGCAGCTGTCATATCTTTAAAATCGGATACACCGGCTTCACTATGACGTAATACTTTTTCGCTGTGATCATATTTCGTGCCATTAGAGCGATACCAGTCTTTTATTTTGGTTTCATTTTCGACCGGAGTTGCCTTTTAACTTGAGCATCACTGAGATGTTTGCGACGTCGTCGCTTCGGACCAACATAACAGTTCATTACGTGCGCGGGTGATCTCCGATAAGCGAGCTTTAACTATACGTGATACCGAATGTATAATTTCCCGCGCTTTAAATTACTATCACATAGGCCGTGTTTCAAAATGGTCTCGCTCTAAAACAACAGGTTTGGCTCCTTCGTCTTGGAAACCCTACTCGCGTCCAGAGTCGCTTTGTATGTGTTATCGGGTGAAATAACCCGCGGGAGAAACTCGGACTTTCTCCAGTAAGATCTGAATCACATTATAACGTAACACGATGTGTTGCTGTACTCCACAGTCAATGCTATGATCCAAGGGAGCCAAGCAAGCAACGCCAAAAGTGCGTCATCCCGGCTCTCATTTCCCTTGTGGAATCGCTCTTAAAGGATAGACCAATCGCGGCCAAAGAAAAAAAAACGCAGGGTCGTGGCGCATTTACTGTTAATCAATGACCTTTAAAACCAGCTAAAATCCGGGATTTCATGCGGATTCCCGACGACCCGCTGCCGACTCCAGCACCCTTTGCGGATTCCAAAGCGGTGGCTTGTTTACTTCGTCGACTTCGTCGCCAAAGTGAAAGATAAGCTATATCTTCACGACCCGTGCACTACCCCAAGCGTGCTGTGAATGCGCGGCTCGCCGACCCCCGCGGTGGAGTACGTTAGAGCACATATTGTCTGGCGAGGTTCGGCGAATTTCGTTTGGACCTCCTCCCGAGGCCTTTACTTAAAGGGGCCTTGCAATCATAAGCGTTCACCTTTTTTGCGGTTTCCACGTCTCTTGGGGTTCGGGCAAGCCAGCGGGCACGGAGAGAGTAACTAAATATCAGTGCGTCATATTTTAACCGGACGACGCGGAAACTTCCTCCACCTACGGGAATGACCCGCGGTGCATGCCGAAAGCGCGCGATATGTGACGTCTTTGGTCCTGAGCTTACTACTGGTCAGAGCCGCTAAAAGCTTCTTTTTAGTCTTAATACAAAATATAAAAGGCGCGAACCGTTTTAAAAATTTATAAAAGTAGTTTTTGTTCGCTATTTCAGATCAGAAAAGAAACAAATGCAGTTTAGAAACTACGGAAACAACAAATGACCAGTATAGAGGTTTTTTGCGCGACACAGGGGACAATTACAAGCGAGTAGACACGGACAAGCGCAAGCTTTCAACTACTTTATTCGTGCGCAATCGACCACGAACACAGGGGACTATTACAAGCGAGTAGACACGGACAAACGCAAGCTTTCAACTACTTTATTCGTGCGCAATCGACCACGAACATGTTCGTGGTCGATTGCGCACGAATAAAGTAGTTGAAAGCTTGCGCTTGTCCGTGTTTACTCGCTTGTAATTGTCCCCTGTGTCGCGCAAAAAACCTCTATACTGCATCATGAATTAACTAGGCCAACAACAAGTTTTAAATGACAACAAATGACCCGTCGACATACCCGCCACCAAGCGGTGGAAAAGGCGGCGCATACTATAAAGGTGTAGTGGGATCAGGCACCGACGACTGGCGAGCGTAAAAAGGTCCCGGATGTACGCGGCAGCGCTGCGGTCGTATTGACTGCAGGATCCCACCGGTTCCGACCGTTCCCAAGGCCTTTGGCGAGCAGCTTTGGCTTGCGATTTGGCCCTTTGGAGGGATGGCAGCGCGAAGTGGCTCCCGTTCTGAACTGATCTTTACCCCGTGTTTGCTGTCGTCTGTGGCCATTGCAGTGTCATGCCGAATTAGTGTTTGATTGCGCAGAAAATGCAATGCGAGCCGCCCCGGGCTGCCCGCTTCATACAGCCTAGCCAGAACGTGCTTTAGTGGCGCCCTCTCGAGCCGTCGACACGGAGTGCGGCAGCCGTGAGCGCTCGCTGAGCTCACTACCCCTCCTCTAGTTCACGGCCACTCAAGCGACCAAGGACGTCATGAGGGAGGTTTGTTTTCGCTTGTTTTTGTAATTTTAGCTTGCCTATAACTTTTAAGGCCACGGTCCCACTGAATGTGGCAGTTTAGGTACTTTTCGGCAGGCCATTACTCATCTCCTTTTAAATACTGTTTTTTGGAATTGATGTCATTTGAAAGGCAATGCAATCCTCTTTCATTTGATATTATGTATGTGTTGGTTTTTACTGTTCATGCGCATTTGTAGCGTTGCGAATATGATGGCGCGGACCCTCACTTGCTCCGATAGTTCATGTTTTATGAACGATCCATTAAAGATAGCACGGTTCCAATATAGCAGTTTTGTTAAGATGATGTCGGAGCAGAATCTAACGATACACTTTTTTGATATTTGCACTACTTTGTTTTTTTCATCCCTCCAAATATTGCCCTAAAATTGACATTTTTCCGCACAAATATGTTTTTAATGACAAGAGATAGGGCAATGAAATTAACTACAGATGTAGTGCTTATAATTGGTAATATGCAGAAAAAAATTTAATGTTGTGTAAATTGTTGTTGTTTAGATATTTTATATCAAACGTAGCACTTTTTTGTGCTTCGTGCCATGCTAGTTCAAATGCCGCTGAAGAAATAATTAAACGATGAAAAAATCTTTTATAACATTTAGAGCTACAATGGTTGCCCAAGAGGTGGACGATGGCTTTTTTTTTCATTTTCAAAGTCATAACCCTCCAGGAGCCCTTCAAACTTACCTGTTTTTGACGCATATCTGTTTTGGACATCAAACAGATTTATTGGCATTTAATAACATTTATAGTTTGGAATAGATATACATTGCGATGTATTAAATTTTCACAATGATATTGCTTTGGTTTCTTAATAGGTGTAGAGCTTAGCTAATTTTAAAAACAATTAAAAACTGTTTGGGTGTTTTGTTGCGCTACCTGGCGGATGGCAGACAAACTGCTGATTTCTAATGTTCAAAAAATTTCCGAGGGCGGCGTTGGCGTCTGTATCATCATCAATCTCCGTGTCTTTTTACCCTCACATTTAAAAAATATATTGGAAGATTTACTATCGACAACTGAATGGTTTAAGTACTGGGTCAGGCTAATAAATCTAAGACCAATATTTACACAAGCGTAGCGTGATATAATGTGTTCATTATTCGATATGATTGAAATCAATAAACAATGAAGACGAAGAGGAAAAGAATACACCCGAGTTCACTTTATGTCTAGAGTCACTAAATGAGCTTTAAAGTATCGGCACTCCGTTCCCCAAAATTGTTTTGGGCGCCGCCATTTTGGGTCTTGCTTAGAGCAAACGCAACTGCCGATCATCGTGATCTAAAAGTACGACTTCCTCAGCATTAGATGCGGTGCTAGGAAGCTGATGCAATATTGCAATGATCTGTCGCGGGTTGTTTAAACATTTGTGAGGGAGGGAAAAGCGTTTCCTGTGATTTTAGATAAAGCTTCATATAACTGGCAACCATGATTTTAAGCCACAATATGGCCAAGTGTCGTTACTCTGAACCGTAGCTAATTTACTGGCACAAGCGGGAACAATGAAGAAGCGGCAGGTGTCAAAAGGTAGTGGCTGGTGGCATCCACGGGGCTTACGATATGGCCCCTCCAGGTATTACTGGGTGGAGCACTTCATGTGCCCTTTGCTTAGGGTGGAGCACGACATCTTGCCATTTTGTCCCCCTCTTGTATTTTTATTTTTTGTTCAGAAGCGCATGAAAGAGCGTGTCCCTGCACGCGCTCGTGGCGCTGATTGTGCTATGGCGACATTTTGTTTTCGTCGATTTCTTTGTATTTTCCCCGTGAGCGCGTGCTGTCGGCATCGGGTACTACAGAGGGTGGCATCACCCTAAACAGAAGGACATTGAGGCACCCTAGGTATTACAAGCCTCTTGAACAAGAGCATGAATACTCTAAAACTCTCTAATAGAGAGTTTTAGCTTACCGCGTACCGGGCGACAGCCGGGGTTACCGCGACCGCGACCATCGAGCCGGTACCGGACCGAGAGCGTAGCGGGTAAAGAACGTTTTAGCATACCGTAACCGCGCCTAACCGCGCCTATGGAAGTTTCTTCTTTCTCCAACGGCTGGAAAAAGTCATGATGATGATAGTGAATACCGGCGTGGTTCGTTTTTAAAGCGGTACATTTATTTGGACAAATGCCGCATAAAAAGCCACTTTTAAAAAATATTTTCCTCATTACGAGTAGTTATAGTGGTACTTCCTTGGTATACGACCAAGTAACTTAATTTGTCAGCTAAGCTGTTGGATACTGGTCGCGCCTCAAGCCAAACGCATCCGTCGAGGGCTAGCCGACGCCGTCTCGTGTGCTCACCTTGCCCGTGGTGCAACGTGGTGCTGTCGAAGGTAACCTGCGGCAGCCTCGGTTCGGATCATCGGCTCCTTCCACGGGTGTGATGGAGCGCTACAGCGTGTTGGGCGACAATTTACTGTTAAATGAGCTAACGTGGCCGGAGATTGAAGCGATATATTTTGTTGAATCAGAGCCTGTCCCCAGACGCAACATTGGGCAGCACGGATTTGTAGATGTTCCGAACATGGACGAGTGGACGTTCAAAAGGAGCTTTAGATTTGAAAAAATGGATTTAGAAGATCTGGTGGCAGCTCTAAAAATTCCAGCCGAGGTGAAAAGCGCCCAGCGAGTGAGGGTTCCGGGGTACGAGGCGCTGTGCATGACCCTGCGAAGGCTGGCGTACCCCAATCGCCTTTGCGATTTAGAAAGAACGTTCGGTCGGCACAGCTCGGTCATTTCGAGCGTAGTAAGCACTGTCATGGCGCATATAGAATACCAGTTTGGACATCTGCTATCAGACCTGACGAACCACAAGTGGCTTGACGTGCCCTGCCTCAAGAAGCTCTCCGAGGTGAGAATACGCCGGCCTTTTGCAGGTGTTTGCGCTGTGCATCTGTCAACCTTAATTTCCGGGCGATGTTTTGCAGGCGGTGCATGCGAGAGGTGCGCCGTTAAAGAACTGCTGGGGCTTCATCGACGGCACTGCCCGACATATCTGCCGGCCGTCGGTGGGGCAACAGGAGCATTTCTCCGGACACAAGCGGCACCACATGCAGAACTATCAAGCACTGATGTCTGCCAACGGCATCATCTGCCAATTAGATGGCCCTTTTAATGGGCGACGACATGACGCAGGCAAGTGTCTTCTTTGTGCTCAGATTTTCGTTGATGCTTTCCATGCACATTTTTTTTGCACGAGGTTACAATAACAACCGACCCTATGCGAGTGTGCGCAGCTAGTTCTAGGTTACCTTAGCATTGTTCGTTCGTTCGCGCAGTAGTAGACAAATATCTAAATAGCAAGCATTGTCCACAGTATTACTCATAAGCATCCAGCTACATGGCATGAAGGGCTGAAACCTACTTTGAACACGATATAAGCGTTGTATCCAAGGAACCAGGCCGATGGAGTTCATCGCTGTACCATATTTATTTGGTGGGAGTCGCAATACAGCGCAGGCCCTGTCCCGCAGTGTACAGTTTTCCATTCAACGAACACAAATTTGAGAATGGGTGTAGTCCTCCATTCCTAAAGAAACTAAAGCAGTATATGACAAAAGAATGGTTTCACACAGCTCAAATGATGAAGTAGAACAATTCCACGGGATATCAGAGAATACGAGTTTCACTTTCCATTTTTTTAAGAAGCTCCTAAGGTCGCTCCTAAATGTAAGAGAGGCCTTGGTCTTGGATGTTCAGTGCCAATAAAAGTATGCAAATAACCAATTTCAGGTATCCTCAAAGACACCGCCCTTTATGACAACTTGCAAGCCATCAACCACGGTGAAAGATACGTCATCTACGGGGACCCAGCGTACCCACTGCGGCCTCTCCTTCTCAAGCCATTTGGAGGCTCCCGCCTGCTGCCGCACGAAGCTCTCTTTAACAAGAGGATGAGTACAGTCCGCCAGGCGGTCGAGTGGGGGTTTGGGAAGGTGGCCGCAGATTTTGCTTTTGTGGATTTCCACAAGAACCACAAAATGTCGCGTCAAAGACTTGGGCGCATGTATAAGGTTGCCACCCTACTGTCAAATTGTCACACATGCCTATACGGCAGTCAAGTGTCTAATTTCTTTGAGGTCGAGGCACCCGCCCTTGATGTTTACCTTGTGCCCCTTTCCCTTGATTCGTAAACTTCATGTTATGTTTGGCGTATATAGATGCACTTGCATGTAAATGTATAGCATAGGACACCAAGTGTTCCTTTCTTTCTAGTTTCAATTCTACTTCAGGTCCGCTGTTTCCATTTTGCGCGGCATGTAACGCTGTGTTTCTACGTATGTAAATCGAAAGTTCTCTTTGAGCTGCTTTAATTTTCTGAATTTGTTCTAATTTTTTTTTTGTGTTTGCTATCCTAGTTTGTGTGTTTCTGTTTCAATTTACATGCGAGTTTTGCCCCCTCCCCCTATGTAAAGCACCCCGTGGACATTTAAGGGTGATAATTAATAAAATAATGAATCAATCAGTGTTCCCTAGACTGCAATATATATTGTAAGGATTCAGAAAGGACAGAATAACGTCATCAGAAGGTGCAGAGCTATTATGTCCTCTTTTCTGCATCCTTCAAAAATATTTCCATCTTGGGGAACTGTCGCCATGATTAACTGTCGCAAACTCTTCAGCACCTCTACCGTTTTATTGCTTTGTTACTGGCTCTAGAAGGCGGACACACGGGGGAGTCAGGATGTCCTGCCCTCTCTAGAATTTTGAATTTGCAGCCGGAAGTCACTCTTAATGAGATTTGCTGAATGCAGTCGAACACAATCTTCACTCCTGCAATTACATTGGACAATGGCATAATGAGATAGCACGTACGTCTTAGTTAGGGCCATATATTCGGCCGTGTGTAAGCATGCTCTCTCCCTCCGCCCCCTGGCCTGACCCCCTCTTGGAAAGAAACCCTGATCCGCCCCTGCTGGTTTTGGCCATTCTGTTTCGATATGTAGTATAGATTGTTTCAATAAAAGGCTGAGTCGATGTAATTACCGGACACTTTGTCTCCCTTGCGATAAAGATAAGTACGGTTTTCTAGTTGCTTTATTGTTTATCCAGCTTTCCTATTAATGTTTGAATGAGCTTGAGCTGGCCATCCTGGAGCGCCGCAGCCGTTTTTTTCTCCTCTTCCTTGGCTAGTCTTTTGCATTCCTTTTCACGCATTTCGTCTTCATGTTTCTGCATTTCAAATGCAAGCCTTTTTTCCTCAAGTGCGAGCCGCCTGTTCTCGATGTCCAATTCTCGCTTCCCACGAAGGCGTAAGTAGCTTAGTGTGGCCGCATTTTGTCTCTGCATTCCTGCAGAAAACAAGAAACAATTATAAAGACCACACTACATTCTGTTGAAAGGCTTCTCTAAGTAGCTAGAGGTGAACTGCTACCAGATACCATGCATACAGATACTTAGGGGCATTGCTCACATGGTTCATTGCCATTATAAACAAGAAAAAATTTTAATACGGAATGTAGCAACGGTAATCCATTATAAATGTTGCCGGAGATATGAGGAAATTGAAAAATTGAGTTGTTTCCAATATTTAACACAATATATCAATTACCTTTTTACTTATAACCCTCGCATAGAATATTATAATAGGAGAAGTTAACACCTGCCTCTCCATAATAAAGTGCAATAAAGAAAGAAACCAGACAGTACACAGGAGATGCAGCAGCCTGATGCAATGGGAACATTTGCACAGTTTCTGGATGAGGAGCCAGCAAAGCGCATTGTTATGCGCAGGAAAATATCGAAGCGTACAGCATTGAAGGAGGCACGTAAGAAGATTTCGTCGCCTTCGCCTGTGTTGTCGGTGAGAAAAGCGGCTTTCCTAGCGTCTGAGTTGGCGACGTCAACGACACAGACAGTGGCCTAAAAACTTCGACCGTGTGTGGAGGCCAGCTCCTTCCCACAACACTGCCCTTTCCTGCTGTCCCTCTCTTCCCTTCCGGCGGCCCGGCAACTCGAAACTTAACAGGAATAAAATCTTTTGTGTTTTACAAGTCGAAAGGCATGCTGTCCCGTGTCTCGATTGAGATGTAAAGACTGTTTCGTTTCATCATCAGCCCCAAAGTGCTTTCCCGAAAGCAGGATTTCAATAAGTTCACAATAAACATTTTTTTGAATGAAGGACTTTTTCTGAACGTGGCACAGAAATATTAGTCAGATTTTCTTTGTGCAACCATTCCGAACAAATTTGAAAATTGCTTTATGGTTCCTTCAAAGATCGCTATATTGGAACGATTTGAATCTAGTACAGAGGATTTCCTCACGCAGCCAATAAAGCGTGATTCTTACTAACCTCTTGGTGGGGCAAAATGAGGTGTGCTGGGTCTTTGCTCGTCGAGAGAGGATTGAGAGCTGGACATGCTTTGGCTCAAATTTGCTGGCTCCTCTACAGCATCCTGGTGTTCTGCCACATTGTATATCTGCTCCAGCAAGTCTGCTGCAGATACTGTCGCACCAAGTCCCGAACTGTTCTCGCCTGGGTTTAGAAACATGATTAATGCACATGGGACAACATATCGCCCTTGGCGCAGTAACTAATGAGATCGATGTGATTACCAGGTCTATTATATTTCTTTAACATCTCTGTAGGGAGACAACAAAAGACTCGTAATAACTCAAGTGAAAAAAAAGTAGCTCTAGCAAAACCAATGATACAGCTGCGCATCGTGACGTAATCTTTATGTAGATGGGGGTGGCTTGGACACCGCAATACCGATAAGGAAAAAAAATGTTGTGGACAGCTGAGCCTATTAGCTGTACATTTAGCTTCTAGCAATCACCCCTGCTGTATACCTCGTTTAAAACACGCAAGGATAGAAATGCCAATAATGATTTAGGGTTTTACTCAAATCTTATTTGAGGAGTATATAAATTGGCGGAATGTACTTCATAAAGTAGACAGAAGTAAACCATGGACCACGTGCCCACTTGTCAGATAACTTCCCCACCTTCAGCGGCGTCATTTGGGGTCGCGGCATTGAACCCTTCCAGAGCGGCGACGTCTCTCGCCGCCTTAGCGGAGTCTCGCGCCGGAGCACGTGGTTGCGCCGAGACTTTCCTTGGAGCGCACAAGGTCCTTTTCCTGAGGACCGTTTTGGGCTTGTATCCCAGCTCCCGCGCAAGCTCTGCGACATCTTGCAGGAGTCTCTCTTTCTCAAAGTATTGTTCCTCTGTGCCGGACCTGAGTCAAGAGCGCCAACACTTATTAGCAAGTGATAATACTCTATTACGTAGCACCTCGAGGATCGACTTACTTTCGGAGATTGTGCCTTTCCTCCCGAAGGAAATAGGTCAGCAGGAGGTCTAGTCGTTCCATCACGCCGCGCGGCGTGAAATCTTTGCCGGTGGCCGAACTTATGTTCGCGGCTACCTCGCACCACTTCGCCCGGTTGGAAAATGGTGCTGCATTGACGGCCTCTTGCAAAAGACATATATCATCGGACGCGCTGAAACGCATTCTCAAAACAGGCGCAGGGCCACATACTACCTTCTCACTACGCGCCATTGCCATGATCGCTAAGACGCTGCAGTCTAGTCTTGGCTAGCTTGCTAAGAAATTGCAATGTAATGTTGGATCCTCTACTTTTCTTTCATATATTTGTTTGTTCCCTGTAATAAAAAAACAAAACAAAAAACATGCGGTTACTTGAAGAGATTTGTGGCAACTGGTAATTTATTGGAGCGCGCAAATGAATAGAAAGCTTATTGGAACGAATGCAAGCCAAAAGAAAAAGTGAAATTGGTCGTTGTGTGAATATTTACACAGCGCGAGGTTAGTCTGCCTGAATTTGGCGATACTGTTTCTTCGCTGTAGATGGGCAGTGTGGCCAGTGCGGTACGACCGAAAACCTGGAGTCTTTAACGTGCACCACCAGTCATGGTTATACGAACGCAGCCGGTACGATGCTCGTCCAGATCGAACCGGGCAGGGACGGGGATTTGAACCCAGTGCTCTGAGTTCTGCAGCGCGAGCTTTCGCTACACGTGCTCCGAGCTGTGGTGCGTTAGCCCACTCGCCCACCGTTCTCCCACGAATGCAAGCAAACAGCATCATCTTGTACGCTGCTTGTTTGCATTCGCAGCTCCATTGCCATCAGCACCAGTCTCTGATGTCGGCTAGGTGGCTCAGGTTGCCGCCCGAAACAAGGGGCATAGCAGTTACCATCCATCTATTCAACCGGCCTGTCCGGCGGCCATGGAAGCCCGGATTTTTGCTATGGACCTCGGGTAGGCGAAAGCCTTTATAGGCCAACCAGAGCCGCTTCACTTGCCCTTTCCCATGTTATGTGGTGCGACGATTGTTTCTAGACGCCTCCCCCGCCATTCCAAAACAGTAAGTGATTAGTCTACGCCGGCCGTCGGAGCCGATGCCCGGCAGTCGCCATTGACGGTAAACGCGGTAAACCAAGTAGCGTGGCATAATTGGCGCATGCGCAGTTCTGCAGTGACGGTCGCGGTAACCCCCCAGTCGCCCGGTAGGCGGTAAGCTCTTACTTACCGCCCGGTAGGCGGTAAGTAAGAGTAGCCACGCTTGGCCTTAGTATGGCTTAAAATTATGGTTGCCAGTTATTTGAAGCTTTATCTGAAATGACAAGAAACGCTTTTCCGTCCCCCACTTTAAGTTTTCGACAAAGCAAAGCAACATTACATGAGCTTCCTAACACCGAATCTAATGCTGACGATGTCGCACTTTTGAATCATGACGATCGGCAGTTGCGCCTGCTCTGCACAAGCACCAAAATGGCAGCGTTCACAACACTGTCGGGGAAGAGGGTGCCGATACTCTAAGCGCAGCTCATTTATTGGCTCTAGTTGCCACGAAACTCCTTTTCCCTGACTGAAACTGAAAGTAAATATGAATAATACACCATTATTATAGCTTATTTAGTTATAACCAAATACACATAATGAGAGGAGGAAGCGGGCGGGTAGGAGAAACGCGGGTTTTATACGCGACCGTTCTAACCGTCTCAAAAGAGAGAACGCACGAGCTTGCGCTGGTTTGGAAAAAAAGGCATCCAAAGAAAAGAGGCGGCACACTGTGTTCTTTGTTATTATGCGTCTAATTGCAAATTGTTGTGTGTATGTTTATTCAGCCGGAAGTTAGTCTGCCTTAGTGGGCGTCTGGTGTCTC